ATTTTTAAAATGATTTAGACCTTTTTCAGTTGTTGTTTGAGGTTGATCTGTTCCTGTAGCTGTTCCTGATTTAATAATAAATATTTGATGGAATATCCGCACAAGTATTTGCGGCGCTGAAAGGCCACGCTGTGGGAGAGATGACACAGAAATGGCCTTTTCTCCCGTGTTTCTGAGGGCAGATGAATGGCAGGCTGTGATCTGGAGAATCAGATCAGTGTGTATAATAACAGTCTTCATGTCAAGCATGTTTCCATTGGTTCAAACAGACCCAAGCGTTTTTCCACTTCGTTATTTGCTGGTATGTTTTTGTCGGATGTTTTCCGTACAGTATCATAAAGCTCGCTCCCGTTCGGAATGTATGCAGCAGTGTGGAATTCTGTGTTGAACGTGTTGCCGTGGTGATGACCCATGACTCTAGAGAAGGGTTTATGTGACTGTCAATCATTATGCCTCATTATTTATTATTCATTTTTTATTTATTATATATTCAACATTAATTTGTATTCATTTTGATTGATTGATTAATTATTTATTTTTTATTTTTACTGTTAATTTATTATAATATATGCTGCTCAAGTATTTTAATATTGATTTTATTTAACTCGTTATTTTCAGTTGTTTATTATTCTTTTTATTTATTTATTTTATTTTACAATTTTTTTTTGTTAAGTTACTATGCATTTGTATTTATTTACTATTCATGTTTATTTAGTTTTACTATTAATTATTGATATATTTTATTTTAGTATTAATTTTATTTAGCTAATTTACATTTATTTATTTTAGCATTTATATTATTATGTATATATTTAACTTTTTTCAATTTATTTATACAGTGTGTAAATGTGTATTTAATTTATTTTACTGTAATTTTGTATGTATTTTATTTTACTGCACATTTGCATTTATTATTTATTTCATTTGCATTTATTATTTCTTTTAATATTCAGTTGTATGTAATAATTTTTATTACCTTTATTTTAATTTTGTATTTATTTATTTACTTAATTTTAATTATTTTACTATTATTATTTAGACTAATGTTATGATATTTTTAGTGATTGTGGCCTTCTTCAGTTGTTGTTTGAAGGTGATTCCCTGTAATTATTTATTAATATATATTTATTTATTTTTAATTAATTTTATTATATTTTTCAGTTTAATTAAATTGAATATATTTTAATGTAATATTAATTTATATTTTATTTTACCCAAGAGTAAAATATTTATTTATTTGTTATTTATTTTATTGATTATTATTGTTATTTCAGAAATTTGCTTATTTGTTTCTTTGTGAATATTACCCAAGAAATAGTTTATTAAAGCAATATTCCAGACAATATGCTAGGTGCAGCATGAAGCGGGTCATCTTAAAATCACTGAAACAATATTATAAAATGGTTTTAGAAAAAACAGCAGGAACGTCCATTTAATAAAAGATGGCAGTGTTGTAGGTGTGTTCTTCCCAGGATTTGTTCTGATCACTTAAACCAAACGTGATGGTGATCGTGTGGTGTTTTTCCTCAGATCGGCACGTTCACGACGCACAGCGGTCAGTTCTTCCTGGAGCCGCTGCTGAGCGCTGATGGAGACGAGTATGAGGAAGAGCACAACAAACCTCACCTGCTCTACAGACACGAGTCACATGACTCTCAGCCATGCAGCGCCTCAGGTAAATGCTCCAGCTTCATCAACTCAGAATTTGCATTCGCACACTGTATAAAAACAAACCAATTTACAGTAAAAAACCAGCAGCTGTGGTTGCCAGAATTTTACCGTAAAAAAATACGGTAGCAACATTTTAGGTTTTGCAGTTTTAACTTAAATTTACATTTAAATACCGTAATTTCATTAACTGATATAATGTTAATATGCTAACCCACTGAAGTACTGAAATCTGTTTTGCCAAAAGCCCATCACAAGCAGCTTTTAAATAATAACACATATAGAAGGTGCAGAGTGTCGATTCACACAAACACTAAACACCATCACGGTGACACACGTCAAACTGAAACGCTTCAGCTTCATCAACTCAGAATTTGCATTCGCACACTGTATAAAAACAAACCAATTTACAGTAAAAAACAGCAGCTGTGGTTGCCAGAATTTTACCGTAAAAAAATACGGTAGTTAAATAATAACACATATAGAAGGTGCAGAGTGTCGATTCACACAAACACTAAACACCATCACGGTGACACACGTCAAACTGAAATAATGCAATAAACATTAATTTAACAACATTCGGTGTAACACACAACCCTAGCATACAAAACTGATAAGAAGAAACATAGTTATTTCAACAAAAAAAC